TCTCTCCAGATGATGATTAAGATGCTAATAAAAAAAAATGGTGCCAGGTACCACAACAGCAACAGAGCTTTGCTGTTTTCTGGGTATTATTCTTCTCTTTGTTTTTTTGTTTTTGTTTTTTTAATGGAGTGTGCTGAATGTCTATAATTTTGTTCAGATGACTGCAGAACCTGGAAAAGCTGTTGCTGCTATTGATGCATAACATACTGCTATTATTGGTCTTTTTATATAAATATATATACATATATAATTTGAATTTTTGGAAATTTTAACTATGCTGTCGACTTTGGAAAAAGTTATCCCAATTTACTGTGTTGAGTTCGCATTGTACAGAAATTAACAGCCATATTGGTCTAGAAATGTTAATTTTTTTCCATTTCTACAGGGGTAATGCACTGTTTTAAATATGTAAGGTCATATCTACGTGGGTTTGATTACAGAAACTAATAAAGTATTCTCTAAATTAAAGAAAAGAGAATAACATAAGACTACAAGAGCAAGAAGCAACTTAAATATGTTCAAGGACCATTTTCATCTTCAGAATTAAGGGTTATTTTAATTTTACATCATTGCCTTTTCTCTTTTACTTTCCTTTTTAGTTTTATTTTAGGATTCCCTGTTTTTAATGTTCATATAGAGATTTCTTTAACTGAAATACCGAATAGTTTCTCTGGTGTGAAAAACTATAATTGTACACAAGATCCTAACGGTCCTTGAATGAAAAATTAATAATGTGAAATAGGAAGTAAAGGGCTAAAGGTGTAGGGAAAGTGGGAAGGGTAGGGGTAAGGTAATAAGGGAGAGGAAAAAATATAAGAAAATGAAAAAATGGAAATAAAGTGTTTGTAAATGGGGAAGGGAGGAGGGGATGAAGGAAGGGCAGGGACAAGGGAAAAAAATGAGAATCAAGACCTATCATGTAAAGGTACAGGATCCCAATAATGAATGTAATTGTATTGTAAACTTAGATTGTACCAATAAACTCAATAAAAAAATTTTTTAAAGAAAAGAAGAATAAAATAAGAAAATAAAATGTCCACGTCAAGGTGTGTTTCTGCTATCACTGGTAGATGATGTGGGCAATGTACAAATCTGAGTTGATTAATCTCAACAAGCTAGCTGAAGCTTTATGGCAGGGTATTGGATAATCCTACCAAGCCTGGACCTTTAGTTCCACAGAAGTTCAGACTGGTATCTGGCTATGAGGCTGGAACTGGACCTGTGGAAGATGTAGCAGTCCATGCACCCTCCACTGGCTCAAACTTGGCTCCCTGATCTCCTGCTGATTTGAAATCTGACACTGACATTGCAAACCACTAGATGGAGCCACAGCTGTTCTGAATGCTGAGCTCATTCAGCCCCTCTCCAAGAGGGCTATTAGCTATTTTCTCTCTCCTAGGGGATATTCAAACCCCAACGACTCACCAACCACTGAAGTTCACTGTGTCCATTACTCTACTCCTCTGGTGCATTTCTCTGTGCATGTATACTCAGTAGTCATGGTTTATCTGCAAGTTTAGCTGCCCTTCTCACACAGCGAGTCCAGGTTCATGGAGAGGCACTGCCTGCTACCTCCTTCTTCTTTGTTGGAGACTCTTTCTTCATTCTTGCCATGGGCTTTAATTCTCTTCAGATACTGGGTCCCAGGAACCCACTTCCCTTCTTCTCTTCCACGTTATTCCAGTGCCTGGCCACCAAATGTCAGAGAGGCCCTCTCTCTGCTATTCACCTCTCCATCCATTTAGGAGATGATTTTGTGTGGTATATAGGTCTGCATTGGAAGTTGTTTTAGTGCTTGAAGTACTTCACTCCAAGTTATCCTCGACTTAAGGTTTGTGCCAAAAAATCTGCCATAGTGTTTGTTTGCTCATTTGTTTGATTGCTTGTTTATCTTTTAAGACAAGTCTTACTGTGTACTTCAGGATGGTCATCCTCCTGCCTCAGCTTCCTGAGTGCTGGTATTACAGGCATGTGCCTCCATGACAATCTGTTTGCTTCTAAAGGGCTTCTCTTTATAGATAGTTGTTTCTTCTAACAGCTTTTAATAGTCTGTCCCTATATTTAATTTCTGCAGTCTTGTTATCATATGCCTTGGTGTAGTTTTTCTTTGATCATAACTATTTGGGTTGTATATGTCTCAATTATCCGTATCTTAAGTTATTTTTCCATGCTTAGAAATTTTTCTGCTATTACTTTTGTGAACAGGTTTTCTATGCCATTTGTGCTATCTTTTGGTTCTTCATTAATTCCAATTAATCTTGTATTATTCTTCTTTGTGTAGTCTAGCAACTATTGGATTGTTTTTCTATAGAAAGAAAGAGAGAGGGAGGGAGGAAGGAAAGAAAAAAAGGATGAGAGAAGGGAGAAAGGGGGAAAATTAGAGGGGGAAAAGGAGGAGGGAAAAAAGGGAGAACAGAAAGAACAAAGAAGGGCTGGGGATTTAGCTCAATGCTACCATACCTGTCTGGCAAACACAAGGTCCTGAGTTCAATCCTTGGTATGATATATACATATATATATACATATATATATACATATATATATATATATATAGAGAGAGAGAGAGAGAGAGAGAGAGTAGAAAAAAAGACCTTATGTCCCTTTCCCTAGAGAAAGACAAAACAGGTGGAAGATGATTTGGACAAGCTGAATGAGGAGTTCTTCCAGCTAACTACTCAAGCCTTGGAGCTCCAGAAGGTGGACAAGCCAGACCAATTACCCCCAGGGGAAGCCAATACCTTTGTGGTAAGCCCAGCAGGTGAACATCTGAGTTCCTGAGATGCGAAGTCGGACCCATGGGTTCAAAGTCCCTTCACAGAGAAAGGTAGTGACCAGAACAGCCAGTTCTGACTAATGTGTCCAACAGCCACAGATGGACTGCTTGTTTAATTTTTGAGAATGCCATGTCAGCAGACCAAGAGCTGGGGCTGTGGATGTAGATGCCTATGCAATCAAGCTGGGATTCAGCTCTCTAAGTAAATTCACACCTAGAAAGATTGCAGAAGGCAAGGAAAGGGAGCAATAAGCATATCAGTTGTAGATGTTGCCTGGCTAGTAGTGTCTGCTTCTGGAACCAGGGCTTTCCAGGAGATTTATCTTCTTTCCATCTTGCTGTCCCCATCACAGCTGAGCTCTCTGAGGTACACATACAGGGAAGGCTGCAGGAGAAAAGATGAAAGATGGGCACAACTATGCAGAGAAGCTGCTAAAGCCAGCACCAAACCTGTGGTCCTCTGCTGGACTGAGAAGTCGATTCTTTGCAAAAGTACCCTCGCTTGGCCTCACCAGGTCACTGTAAAACCAGCTCCACTGCAGAGGGACTGGGCTCAGGACCCCATCTTGGACTGTAATGAACATCAGAAGATGGTGACTTATGAGGACCAAAGGATAGGAAAAGACACACCCACTATAAATATCCCTAAAGTTGAGGGAGCTGAGCTGAGGGACAACAGAAGCAGTGAGGATTACTCAGTAACTTTCCCAAATATTCCATATGAGGATTGTGTGTTACTGTAATTGGCTCTTGTCTTGTTTTCACATGGCAACATAACTGGAGACATTGTGTCTCCATGAGGTAACCATGTCCCTGCAGGAAGCTTTCAGCACCTTCTAAGTTGTGGGGGTGGGTGCTGATGCCCAGATAGTATGTGGCACAGGGCAGAGAGAGTCAAGAACTTTGGGTAACTTCCTATCCTGCCACATACCTATCCTGTCCAGGTGGCTTCCAGCATCCTCCCTGGTGTGTGGTGGGACGACAGAGCTGACCCCATGGAGGCAGGTCAGCCCAGCAGAAAGAAGACTGGGCACTGGGCCCTGGAGAGAAAGCAGGCTCTGGCCCTGGAGGTTCAGAGAGTTCACGTGGCCCAAAAGATTGAAGACCTGGAATGGGAGCTGTCCCTGCTCCTCCAGGTGGCAGAAGGTGGCTTGAGAGCAGAAAGAAGCCAGCCCAGCTGTGGGGCTGTCCTGGAAGGCTCTGAGTCACACTGAGATGGCCACCTGCAGAAAGCACCTTCTCCGCTAAGGATGTGTCCAGGAGCCATGGTAGGAAATAAAAGGTATCTGCAGCTGGAGCTGTGCTTGTTTCTGACAACTCCCATCATGGACACCTGAGTCACGATCAGCCTGTAACTTGACATGTGCTAAATTCTTCTTTGATATTTTGAGGGAGAGACAATAAAGTTACCTAGGTTGAGAAAATCAGTGTATGCTACCATCATTCTCTTGCTCAGGTCCTGATCACTGTGTCCTCTGGACCAGGACAATAGCTGTGATGGGTCACTCAGGGTACCTGGCTCAGGGTGTGATGTGCCCAGTAGGTGATGTGAAAACAAAGGTACAGTACAGGCTGTCCAAAACCCACTTTCCATCTGGCCTCAGCTGAGTTTCCAAGGCTAGCGTGGCTCCAGCCTGGGTGACAGAGGCAGATGGTGAGACCTGGTCTCCAGAATTACACCAAGGGCCTCCAACACCAGGAGGGTCTCCTTAAGGATAGGCAGAGCCCAGCTAGTCACATTGGAGCTCTTTGTCCCCAGGATTCCCATGCCTTCTGCCCTCTGTGTCTTGTGAAAAGCTCCTTTGTAGAAAGTCTGTCCTTCACTACCCTGTCTCAGCTGGAGACGTTTTACCTCCTGGCCCACCCCAGAGCCCATGTGCCTACCACACACTTCCTAACTCCCATCCTGGCCTCCCCCTAGGTAGCTCCCTTCAGGAGCCTCCTGAAGTACAGGCATCAGACCACCTATAAATGCTTTGTGAATGCAGCTGGCACAAGGCTCTAACCAAAGGTCACACAGTCGCATCCTGAGGCCACAGCAGCACTTGAGGGACTGCACAAATGACAATATGGAAAGGAGGATCAACCTGATGGATGAACTAGGAGCTCAGAGCTGAGGGACATGCTGCAGCCAGAGCCCTTAGAGACAGCATCAAGGAGGGGCTAGCTAGGCACCTTAAAGTGTGGATGAAGTATGCTGGCCAGAGGAGGGAAGGAAGGAGCTTCTCAGATGAGTGAGGTGGTTGGAAAGAGCAAGGAAAAGAGCCAGGGATTTAGCTCAGTGGTTCTGCCACTTGCTTTGCAAGTGCAAGGTCCTGAGTTCAATCCCCAGTACAAAAATATCTTAGAAATTAAAATTTAAAAAGCAAGGAGAGAGATACATGCACAGTATTGACCAAAGGGACCAGAGCAACCTCTACTGAGGAGAAGAGCCTGCAGGAGGAAGTGGGAGGCCACCCTGAAGCCTGTGGGTCTGTCACCAGCAGGTGTCAGCAATTCACTCTGTGATGTGCCCTAGTTGGAACCCCAAGGATCCTCCTGCTGTAAGATCCTCCATTCAGAGTTCCATGTCACCACCACCAAGGGAGGAATATGTTGTCACAGAAGGTCATAGCCATGTGAGTCCTCATGGAGACCATTGTGAGCTATGGAGACCATTGGAGGAGACAAGAGGAACCCTGGCTTTTCTGGCTGATTTGACCTTCTCAAAAATGCCATTGCTGTTCTCTGTGGAGGTACATGAGCCTGTCCCATCACTAGCACAATCTCTGGGTGAGACAGGATAGTCACTCCAACTCCAGATAGACAAAAAGCCTGAGGATGCTGGATTTCCACTACCCTGGACTTCCAGGAAACTCCCTATATATTCAAACTGCTGCCCAGCAGGCTCTAGCGGGGGGACTACTGGCCTGTGTGACCAATTGCATCACCATTAAACCCCAAGGCACAGCCCAAATATGTAACCATTTGTCTTCATACATGGATAGACACAAGGTTCAAGGGAAAGCAAAGCCAAGAAGTGAGCTAGGAGACCAAAGACAGCTGCAGTTGTGGGGTAGAGATAGCCAACAGTCATGTCCCTGTGGGGCTATGTCTGTGAGTCTGTAGGATCATCTGAGGAAAAGCTTGCTCACTGTAGAGGGAGACATGTTCATTAGACCTGAGCCCAGGGGCCATCTCTCACATTTCCTAAGTCAACAACTAGCCCAGCTAACACTCAGCAAAATCAGAGACCAACCCACTTTTTGCAGAGGGGACCCAGCACAGAAGTGGCTAGGCCAGGCTTTTCTCACTATAAATGCTGAGCCTCTAGCTCATCAACCCAGGTGCAAAGTCACCTATTGGGGAGCTCCAGGACTACACCCAAACAGGACCCTGAGGAAGCCAGTGCATGAGGGCACTGAGTCTCCTAATCTAAATTCATTTTATCAGCTCATGACCTTGGACAAGTTTCTGAACCATCTGACTTCAGTTTTCTCACAGGTAAGTGTGCACAGTGGAAGGACCCACTTCATCGGCCAAGAAGAAGGCTCTGTGGGTATATAATTCATCTTCCAGAACAGAGAATATGCCAATCAATGTCAGCTCTCACCTCTGTGTCCATAAAAATCCATTTCTTTCCAGACCCTACTAAATATACACATAGAAGGCATCCTCCCAGCACCAGGCCTATCCACTGTAGACTGACACAAATGTAAGCAACTTGAACTTCAGCAGATTATGGCAACTGTCTTTCTTTCTTCTTTTTTTTTTTTTTTTTTTTTTTTTTTTTTTTTTTTTTTGCACAGAGAAGGGTGGTAGAAACACAGGTTAGGCAAAGCCCAAGAGGAACCTGGAAGACTTGTGTGGACAATTAGACACTGAGGCTGAACTGATTTGGAATTCCAAAGTCAGAGATGGAGGCATCTGGGAAGAGGAAATGATAGGAGTGGGCTAGGGCTGGAAGGTGGAGCAGGCTGCAAGGAGCATGGTTTGGTTTGATCCCAGAGCAGGTAAAGGTGGGGAAGAGGCAGTGTGGGCCGGTGAAAGCTGAGGACTAAGTGTGGGGTTACCCACAGATGCGGGTGTGGCTATCTTCTTAGTAAAGTCAGTTTCCAGGGATTTCCTAAGAGTGAGGAAGCCAGGGCCAAAAAGATGTGACAAGTTCAGGGACGCCAATGACATCTTGGTGGATAATGACTCTCCTTCAACTCCTGCCCTTCCCTACTCCTTTATTTTCTATGTATTTAAGGGTACAGAGGCTCAGAACTTGACTAGATTTTTCAATTTCAACTTTTCAATTCATATTCATTCTGAAATCTCCAATTCTGGGAGAGTTGGATAAATAGCCACTGCATGTCCCCACCTCAAAGCTCAAAGAATTCTCATGAGTGAGTTCCTGGACCCTCCTTTGCTTAGCCAAGTCACGCACACGCTGGTGGGGCCCACTTGGCCCAGCACAGGGCTGGGGGAACAGATCCCACAACATCCCCACCCAGAGTCATCACCTGGTAGCTGAGAGGATGAGTGACCAAATAGCCCTACCAATGAGAGGCTTTGTACCTGTGGGCAGAGCCGAGCAGAGTGATTTTTTTCAGGAATACAGATCTAACCTTTAGATGCAGCTGAGAAAGGGAACACATCACAGGCCTAAAGGAAGGTCATGAGCCGGGCCCAGTGGGGCGTGAGGTGACGTGGATCAGGAGAGGTTGGGGGTACAGGGCCTGTTCGCCCCGGGAGGAGATCAAAGGGGATCCTCCCAGCAAGAGGAAGTGGGAAGAGGTTTGGGTCTCCCTGCATTCAGAAGAAGACAGGCCCAGGTGGCCTCTGGGTGTGCATTACCACATCTGGATGAGGAGTAAAGCTGCCCTGTGAGCATTTAGTGCTGTGGCTGTTGTAGGAGCCACGCTGCCCCTGTCATCTCACTTCCTAGCTGGTTGAGAGGCCACCATAACAGCACAATGGAAAAGCTGCCAAAGCCAGGGAAAATCTGGATCAAGTGTTTCAAAAACAAATGGACTTCAAATCAGGTTCTTCCTTGTCTTGAAAACACAGGCATAGAATATGGGGTATGGCTCAGATAGACTACCTGGCATGCCTGAGACCCTGGATTTGGCGCACACACACACACACACACACACACACTCACATGCATACACACACCCATGCACACAAACACTCCATACACCCACAGACATACACATACCAAAATGTATTTATTAAGGGGAAAACAAAAATTCTGAAAAAATATATTACCTCAGAGGAACAAAAGCCTTTATTCCACAATTTTTCTGCACACCTGATTCACTTTTCACACTAGGGGGTAACGAATTCTCTAGAATGTATTTTCAATGAAGTCAATTATAGACTCAAAATTAAAACATGGGTCTAACAAATCACCCTTTCTTCTTCTGGCCCTTAGTCCCCACTTGCAAGTGTTCAAGCACTAAAACTTATAGTTTTTTCATAGGAAGTCAAATGGAAAAACAGAAAAAAGGCACAAGATTTGAGGTTGGAAGACTTGACCCCAGAACCGTGTTTCTCCCACCTACCAGTCTTTTAACTTCCTCTAGGAAGACTCAGCTTCCTCTGGTGTCACTTAGAGTTCCAAGAACTGCAGTATTCAGCAGGTCTGTCATCATGCAATCATCCTCGAGTGCCCTCACACAGATCTGGGAAGCCCTGATGCCACCAGAAGACATAGCAAACAGGACAGAGCCAGAAACATGGCATGACATCTAGAGTAAGCAACCTCCATGAATGGAGTAGGAGCACACTCTAAAATGACAATAGCATACAAACACCATTAACACATAACCCAGAACCACTGTCACCATTATCAGGTGCGATGTGTATCTACGTGGCCAGCAGCACAGTGGGCTGCAAGCATGACCACATAAATGTGAGTTGCAACATGGAGGGGCAAGAGCAACCATAGGGAACAGATATTCACCATAGACCAAACTATACCCATCACACTGGGCTAATAAAAGTTTAACAGAGAGCCAGGTTTAGTGTCGCATGCATGTAATCCCAGCACTCTTTGAGGCTGAGGCAAATTCAAGCCCATAACCCTGTATTTTTTTTTTTCAAGTCTGAGGATATAACTCGATGTGAAGGCCCTGAGGAAATTCCCTCCTCACCATTTCCTGCTTCTTCTGGACTCAAGAATCATCCACTGTATTGTCACTGGAACTCTGGAGGGTATCACAAACAGTAACTAGGTTTACTTTTATATTTGACACATGATTGTGCATATTTATAGGGCACAGTGCACGTGGACTACCAACCACCTCAAACATACCATTTCTTTGGTAGGAACATTCCAAATCCTCTCCATTGGCTATACTGAAATATAATTGTTGTCAAACAAATATAACTGTTGACCCTACTGTACTATAAACATCAGAAGTTATTCCTTCTGTCCAGCTGTATCCCTGCGCTCACTCACCATCCTCTCTCTATCCACTTACTCCCAAAAGCAAAGTTTTGAGAAATTTATTGAATTGATATGCATTTAACTAAAAACTCATTAGGCCTGGAAGTTTTTAGTTGGTTTTGTTTGTTTTTAAGGTTGGTTTGTTTTTGTGGTGCTGAGAACGGAACTCAGGGCCTATGCATGCTAGGAAAGCACTCCACCACTGAACCGTACTTATAGGCCTTTCTTGGGACAGTTTTTGTTTGGTTTGATTTGGTCTGGTTGTTTGTGTGTTTGTAGTGCTGAAGATTGAATCCAAGGCTTTCACACTGAGCTATATCCCTGCCCCTACTTTTTTTTAATATAGAGTCTTACTAAGTTGTCCAGGCTAGGCTTGAATGTACAGTCCTCCTGCTTCAGTCTCTCAGAGTGCCACCACACACCTAGTTCAGCCTGGGAGTTTTATATATATTTTAGGTCTAGCCAGAAACAGATGAAGTATCGGTTCTTCTTTGAACCCCTCAGCCTCCCAGTTCAACAGTCTGAATTTAGAAATCTCCAGGGTCCCTACTACTTCCATGGGGGTTACAAAGAATGGGTGAGTTAGGTCTCTTCACACAATTTCTTATGCTTTTTCTCAAAGTTTTGTCTCTTTTTTTTTTCTTAAAGAGAAAGTCTTTAAGCATGGCTTGGTAGTGCCCACCTATAAATCCAGCACTTTGCAAGGCTGAGGCAGGAAGATTGCCTAGGTAACTTAGTGACTTAGCGAGACCCTGTCTCAAAATAAAATGTAGAAAGGGCTTGGGCTGTACCTCAGTGTGAAGGCCCTGTATTCAGTCCCAGCTAACATACACGCAAAAGGTTTTGTTACGTTGCCCAGGGTGGCTTTGAACTCCTGGTTCAACTAGTCCTCCCTCCTCAGTCTCCCGAGTAGTTGGGACTGCAGAAGCATTGCACCACACCTAGCTCTTCAGACTTTAACAAGACTTCAGGCAGCAAAATCATGTGGAGAAAGGCTCTGAATTACCAACTGCATTTTAAAGCATTTACAGTCCAAGGGCAAAGTCTTAGATATTCTTGACCTGGAATTCTTGTAGAGAAAATTAGTCATCCATAGAGTTCTGGCTCTGAGCACTTGATTTAGCAGCACATATACTAAAATTGCAACAGTAAAGAGAAGATTAGTGTGGCCCCCGCACAAGAAGGATGACACCCAAATCCGCGAAGTGTTCCATATTTTCCTATGTACAAAAAATCTGGCTCTGAATTAAGCATTGAAAGTGATTGTTACACAAACACAGAGCAAAAGGTTTCTGGGAAGTTATGGAAAGAAACAGAAAAGACCTTTACATTAGGTCCAAAAGATGAACTAAGGTAGGCTAGGTGTGGTAGTACAGGCCTATAATCCCAGTGGAGGTAGAGGCAGGATGATGACAATTCCAGGCCAGTCTGACCTATATAGCAAGTTTAAGGACCTGCTGGACTACAAGGTGAGACATTGCCCATA